TTTAGTAAAACTTATAAAAGTCACATTTAGAAAGAAGAATCTGTGAGCAAATACAGTACATTTTGAGGGGGCATCACTAGACATCAATTATCACAACACAACCTGCATCTCTCACCACTTCCACAATCTCTGACCAGCTGCCAGAATCCTGACTTGCCTTTCTTTTGCCTTATGTGTCCCTCCTCATAGCTGTCATTTGTAGAGCTCATTCTCAAATGGGCAAATGTTCCTTGGAATGAAGCTGCACATCATTTTTAATCAAATTAGAATTTCTTCTTTCTTCTTTTTTTCATTTTGGCGGAACTGGGGATTGAACTAAGGCCCTTGTGCTTGCCAGGGAAGTGCTTACTTCACTGAGCCAACCTCATGGCCCTCTTTTTTAAATTTTAAAATTTATTTTATTGAGAAGCAAATAGCAATAAGACAGTTTCAAAACTGATTAATAGGACGGTTTCAATAATGAATACACTGTACATTGTTATCTTCTTAGTGGTTATCCATAGGACAAGATACAGACAAGATAGCTTGTCCAAACACTATTAGTACAAATCTTTCTTTTCATTGAATTAAGCGAAAGTGGGTGCATATCTATCCTAACTATACTGTATATATAGATACATAATGGCCCTACCTTTGTATCCCCTGTTTTTGTTTAGTCCTTTCAGAGATGGGTATTCCATTGGATTCTAAGTACTATAGGTGCACAAATTCAACAAAACAATCCAACACAGTCCAGCAGTCCACATTAGTAGTGGGTTATCCACAGAAGTTGTTGACTTGAGCCCTTCACAGCTCAGCATATTAATATGGCTTTAATTTATATACCTTGTTTTTATACTTTTCTCCTGGATGGTTAAGACCAAGATAAAGCAAGACCTGTATAACAAGAAATGTAACTTTTGTATCTGATAAGGTCAGTCCTCTCAGGATTTATCCCGTAACCCTGTACCGCAGTTTGCAGATCCATTGTCAGTGTCAGCCACGTGGATGAGTCACGGCCATTGCTTGACCAATTTGCTCTCATAGAATTTCTGCAGGTGGGGCTTGGGTATTGGTGGTGTTAAGAACTCCTCAGGTGATTTCAATAAATTTTTAGCTTCTAATTTAGGAAAATGGAGATCTCTTATGGCACATGAAAGAAAAAGGCTTTGCCACCTATAATCAGGTTTTATTTAATTTACTGTAATATCAGTAATACATAACATGCATGTAGCATATCTTGGGAACTATGTGTACTTGAATGAAAGCTATATATTCTGAAATGTCTTTATGACGTTCCTAAGGCTGGAGACTATGACTCGTTTCTAATAAGTCTAATTGGCTATCTCATTGAAACAAACACATTTCGAAGTGTTTATTTTCCAATTGTAAATTTTGAGATTTCAACATTCTTAATCTCACTAATTTTTAAGATTTGAAGTATTCATGTATGTACAGGCTCATCATATGGGAAATAGAACTGAAAGAAAGCTAAAAATCTGTATTCATACTACCCAGAAGTGATGTTAGTTTTTATTACCTGTAATCATATGTCCTATGTGGACTTATGTCCATGTTTTATTTCATATATCAAATTGAGTTACATCTTACCTAATCAGCAATATGCAATATAATGTGTGAATTTTACTAATACAAAAGTTGTACAAATCAGCTCAGTAGGAAAAAGCTTAAGATATGAATATGAGAGTCCCCTAGACATTCTCTAAGACCTTCTGAACATTTAGCTACAATATCTCTTTTGTGCTTCATTACTGATTAAATAATCCTAATAATATTTTTATTTGAAAGCATGATTTTAGGTACTGTGAAATGAAAGCACTCGAGTGACTTCAGGCAGCAGAGGGTTAATGAAGATGCCAACATTTGCAGAGGTGTTTGTGTGTTAAAATTCATAGCACCTTCAAAGTTAGGATCGATTTTGTTTTTGACTGAAGAATTACAATGCCTAATATCTGTCAACTGCTTTTAAATGTTCTGTGCTAAACAATTTGTTTACTGCTCCACACTAAACTGTTAGGTAGCTGTTGTTTGCTCCAGGTTGTCACAAGGAAACTGAGGCATAAATGTTAAGCAAGTCACATGGGCCCTGAAGTTAATTAGTAGATCTGGGATTTGTGTGATAAGGAAGTACCTGTGACCACAGAACTCAGCTGTTAATCTAGCTACTTTTTTTTTTTTTTTGTCACTGCAGCTACTGTGGTAAGACTTGCTCCACTACAAATGTGCACGGATGGTTTCCCTTCCTCTATAGAGTGGTATTGGAATTGACCACAGATGTACAATTTAAAAATCCCCTTCCTCCTTCTTAGAGAACTTGGGAATTTACAAAAGTCCAGTTTTCATCACTTATCTCAATTTCTGAATGCCAAAAGATTTGGAGGATGAGTCTTCGATTACATTGCTTGCGTTTGCTCACGCCTTACAGTGACACAGCTGGCCACTGCCTGATACAGAACCTCGGGGCTCACTTGGACAAGGGGCCACACGGCTGTGTCTGCAGCACATGCATCACTTTTAATTATCCACAGTTTGGCTCAAATTTAGAACAGTTTGCTGTACAGTTTCCTGCCCAAAGCCTGAAAGCAAAAACCGCTCTTGAGGGCTCACGAGATGTGCGCAGTCTTACACTAACTAAGCTTTTTCCTATGGGTCAAGTCCCCAGAAAGCAGCAGACCTGCACTGTATCATCCTAGCTGTCTATAGAAATCACTTGACAGAAACATGCCTTGTATGAAGCTGTCAGCTCACATCAAGTCTGCTGTTAGAAACAGCTATCAGCAGATACCGCTTCTATTAAAGACATTATCCGTTATGTGTTTCACTCCTTCTTGTTTAAAAAGTAATATGGTAAATATCTGCTCCCAGGGGTCAGAGCTTGAAAAATGTTGGTCTCTTTTACCCTGCCAATTTTCTTCCTTTCTTTATAATGACAACTGACATATTGCACTTTTTTATATTTTCCTTTTGACCTGATTCTTTAGCTGTCAGAAGTTGATTACTAAATAGGAGCTTACTTTCCTGGAATGTAGATTTGCAGTATAATTACCTGTTTGTTTTTTGAATCTCTCTCTCTCTCTCTCTCTCTCTCTCTCTCTCTCTCTCTCTCTCTCTTGTACTAATAATTTATACATTCTTGCTTGACAGTAAATACAGCATGGGTTTAGAAGTCTGGCTGCCTGGAATTTTGAGAAATGAAATATCCTTTTTATAACTCTTCACGACCCATTTGTGTAACTTTTGAGCATGTTTCATCATTACATCTATTCTTAACTTTCATCTATGAAATCAGGACAGTAAAAAAATGCTAAGAAATTGTGGTTCAAAGGATATTGTTTTTGTAATTGTGTTCCTTTCTCAGAATTGTGGTAAAATATACATTCCGAAATTTACCATCTTAACAGTTTTCGAGTTTTAGCATACTCATGTTCTTGTTCATTCAATCTCCAGGATTCTTTCCATTTTGAAAAACTAAAACCTTTCACCCTTTAAATGCCACTTCTCCATTCCCCTTTCTCAGCCCCATCCCACTTACTAACTCTGATTTTCTGCTGTTCTAGGTACCTCATGTGAATATTTGACTTCTTGTGTTCGACTTATTTCTTCACAGTTCATCTGTAAGTGTCTGAGTGTCTTTTGTTTTAAGGCTAAATATTTCATCGTGTGTATGTACTGCTTCACCACATTTTGCTTAACCTTTCATCTGCGAACACTTGGGTTGCTGCCACCTTCTGGCTGCTGTGAATAATGCAGCTATGAAACAAATATTTTCAAGGGTTTTAGCTACGTATTCAGAAGTGGATTTTTTTTTTTTTT